ACGCTAATGTTGTGGATGAGTACCTAATAGAGTCCTGGTGTGGAGTGCTGGTGTGACACTGTGGATTAATGCGCTGGACTGCAAAGTTGGTTTGAACAGCAAGGTCAGTGGTTCAAACCCACCAGCCGCACCTTGGAAACCCTATACAGGGTTGCTGCGGGTTGGAACCAACTCAATAGCATTTAACAGCAACAACAACAACAGCAATTAGTAGCTTACAGATATTTGCTGAATGAATACATGGATCAATTTTGAGTTTAACCAGGAATAATTTCATTTTCTCAAATTATTTTCTCATTTGCTCCTCACAAAAGTTTGGTAGAATTATTATGTAGATTTCAAAAATAAAATTAAAAATACAATACAACATCCAGAGGAGTGAAGTGATGTGCTCAAGGCCAAAGTTTTTTTTGCTACCCATGTTACACTGTCACTCAAGTACCTTAACCTTAGTATTCCCAATCCTCAATTTCTAAGAAATAGGAAAGAAGCCTCAACATAAAAGTAAAAGATTCTGTTATTGTTTCCCTGGTAATAAACTTGTGAGGAGACAAAGAAAAAGTAGACATGGTCTAACCTCTCAGTCAAATTACAATCTAATGGGGGGAAAGTATATACAGTGAGTGAAGAAATTATTAATACACAGAAAGCAAATACATGCAGAAGAATAAAGGAATAGAGAAAATTTTGTGAGAATGTGTTGGTGTCCTATTAGTATCTCTTGCCTAACCTGACTATCTGGTGGACCCCTTGAGAGTTGAGACTATAGAGCAAGCATATCTTATATCTTACACTTTGTGAGTTCATTTCTTCTCCCATAACTCCCTACCCCCTGTTCCACATAGAGGGTACACTATTCAATAAATGTTCAATAACTTCTATAGTATCTGTGCATGAATGTTTCTAATGAGAAGAGAAATAGGTTTTCATGCATGCATGAACATCTTGTAACAAAGAGGTAAGTATTAACTCAAGCAAGTAGGAGTAACAATTCTAGGTGAGGGTTTTATTGTTAGATCTGAGAAAGTATGCAAAGTGAAGGACAGGGGACATTTTAGCCACTTTCAGTGCCTGTGAAAGTCCATAATGGGAGTAAAGACAAAAAAGAATGTCCTATGGGAAGCTGGCAAACAGTCCTTAAGCCCTGCCATACTCACGCTCACATGATGCTCCTGCATCTTCTCTGTGGGTACAACTCCAATGATTCTGATTGTCTATCTCACATTGAGCCAGTGTATCTTCCATTCCATTGCACTTGACCTCTTGGATGAAGATGTCTTGGTTTTCTTCTGCCAGTGGCTTATATACATAACCGCTGGGTGTTCCCTTGGCTGCTCCACAGCCTAGTTCCCGGCACACGACATCCACATTCTTCAAGTTCCAGCCATCATCACACACGGTGCCCCACTTACCCTTCTGTTCCACCTCCACCCGCCCTTCACAACGGTGGGGGCCTCTCACCAGTTGCACTCTGTATGAAGACTCTACAAAGAAACACCACATTATTTGGAGACCCAGATGGAGCCTAAAGGATGCTCAATGATGTACTCAGTCATTTTGGGACTGCTTCCACCATTCACAGAGGGCATGGAGAGCTCAGAGAGGGGAAAAGGGAGGCAGAAAGGGAGGGAAGAGAATCTGCAGAGTCCTATTTCTGAGTTCTAATTCTACAAGAAACTCCACATGTGTATACTCACTGTTGTTGTTAAGTGTGATTGAGTCAGTTCTGACTCATAATGACCCTGTATGGGGTTTTCAAGGAGCAGCTGGTGGGTTTGAACTTCCCACCTTGTGGTTTGCAGTCCAGTGTTGATCCTACAGCACCATACCAGTAATCCATCAGACACCTAGATATCACTGCAGGCTTTTCAGTTTGAAGATTAAAAGAAACACAAGGGCTAAAGATCCAACAGAATTCTCAGAATCCCTGGTGGTCAGAAACATGAGGGTCTATAAAAATCGTGAAGCCCAATTCTACTATTTCTGAGATAAGGAAAACATTTTTCAGAGAAGTGAAGGTCCTATGGTCTTACAATAAATTAGTAGAAGTCCCAGGCCAATTTGCAAGTCTGGCAAAGACCATTGTGTTTTCTTTTCTTGTTTATGGCTCTTTCTCCACGGGGAAGCCACAATGAGAAGGAACTAAGGGGTCTTTGTATAATTTGGGCTCCTAAACTGAACAAGGAGTCCTGGTATAGCACTGTGGATAAAGCACTGGACCACCAGGTCAGTATGAGCCACAAAGTCGGTGATTCAAACTCACCAGCTGCTCCTTGGAAACCCTATACAGGGTTGCTATGAATCAGAAGCAATTCAACCACACGTAACACAAACTGAATAAAGGAGACTGGGTAGTACAGTGGTTGAAGGGCTCAGCTGCTTACCTAAAGGCCAGCAATTTAAACCCATCAACCTCTCCTAGTGAGAGAGGTTCCTGCAGCCTCAGAAACCCTACAGAGCATTTCTACCCTGTCCAACAGGGTCTCTCTGAATTGAAATAGACTTGAAAGCAAAGGGTACTTTGATTTAAGCTGAACAACCTTTACCAGTTACCCACATCATCCTTATAATTTTCTGTGACATCCTCCATGTACTAATTCCAGGCCAAGTGAGCTTTTCTTTCACACTAACCCCAACTCTTTGAAAAAAGAACTTTGCTAAAAAATTAAACAAGAATTCCAAACTTTTCATATTTCCCTGCCTAGAAATTCACATCTTTGTGTTTCTTTCTTTGCTTTTTTTGAGACTGGAGCGCCTTGTAGAAAACTCCTATAGAACAACCATGCTGCAGCATAATTTCTTTTGATCTGGATATTTTGAGACTGAACAGTTTAATAACAGAAGATTAATGGGGTACAAGGAGTCCTGGTATGACACTGTAGGATAAGCACTGGACTGTTAACCACAAGGTCAGTAGTTCAAACCCATTAGCCACTCTGCAGAAGAAAGACACGGCTTCATGTTCCCATAAAGATTTGCAGCCTTAGAAACCCTATACAGAGTCTCGGAACAAACTCAGTAGCACTTAACAACAGCAACAAGTATATAGCTCAGAAGAAATATAGAAAGCATCTGGTAAGGGAAGAATCAGAGCCTTAAAATCTCATAACTTCAATATCTAGAGGGTCACTGAGGGTGGGGTTGGTATAGGAAAGAGGCCTGAAGAATATTTGCATGTGTTTTAAGAAATCCAGGATTTGCTTCTGTTTCCAGACTAGAACATAGGGAAACAAAAGACTAACAGTAATCTCTCCTTTCCTGCACTATATAGAAGTACAGTAGAGATAGTTATGCAAGGACAACAGATGATAAAGAGCCTATCAGGCAACAGTTACTGAGTACATACTATGTTCAAGGTATTATTTTATGAACTTTGAGAGCAGTGATAAATAAGACAAATAACATTGCTGTTCTCAAATATTTATATTTAGTAGGCTGAGACAATCCCCCACCAAGTCTCCTGCAATCCCAGAGTGATAAAGGAGGAAAGAACAATCTATCATGCTCTGTGGAGTGGGACATTTAACTGAAAAAGGTCTAGTACACCTGGATTCACATTTGAACTGCTGGTCTGTGGCCTACTGGGATATAAGCAGCTTAACAGATGCTTAGCACATGAGATGACACAGTGGTCTGGATGAACAGAATATGACTTCTGAGAACCATGTTTCCTACTGCCTGCTTTGTCTTAATGCTGTGTAAACTCCCTAGAACTTAGAAGCACCCCCAGAATGGTTGAATGACAAAACTCTAATCTGGCTTCTATTAAACTGCATTGAAAAACTTTTGTTTGGTTTGCTTTTCTCTCTCTCTCTCTCTCTCTCTCTCTTTTATTCCTTACTTTTTCTATATACATAGTGTGTATAGGGGAAACTTGGAATAAATTAAATAATAGAAAAACAGAGAAATGTACCTATTTTGCCCTCCTGGGGTTAAGGTTTATTCATTTGGGCACAAACATAATTCAAGAGGAGTCACCAGAAATAACTTTTAGGTTAGTACAGTTCATGTAACTAAGGTTAGAGTTTGTATTAACATTATCAAGGTCAGAAGTTCAAACTCACTAGCCGTTCCTTGGAAACCCTACACAGGGATGCTATGATTTGGAGTCTACTCGATAGCACTTAACAACAACATACTCCAGGAAATATTAGCTATCAAGATCACAGATGGGTTATCATATTTGATTTTGAATAATAAAATTCTTGTGTTAAAATAGGAGAACGTGGTGGCTCTGTTGAATAAGCACAGGACTGTGAACCACAAGTTTGGCAGTTCAATCCCACTAGCTTCTCCAGCGGAAAAAGATGAGGCTTTCTACTCCAGAAAATATTTACAGCCTTGGAAATATTATACAGAGTCACTATGAATTGGAACCTACTCAACGGCACTTAACAGCAACAATAACAATTTAAAAATAAAGTCCCTTTATAAATGAGCTTTCATTTTCTGTGCAATGGAATATTAAAAGGCCCATGGGAAAGAAGAAACACATTCTAAAAAGAAAAAAGAAGCATCAAGTAATTATAAAAGAAATCCAACTTGAGGAAAGAGCGAAGGGCAGAGAAAATATTTTAAAGTTACAAAAAAAGTACAAGGGGCATTGGAGCAGCTGTGTCCTAGGCAATGGTGTTATCAGCCTTAGTATCAGAGGACTTGAGAGATGGAGCCAGGACCAGAAAAGAAAATCATGCTAAGTTATTGAGAGGTTGTAAAGAGAATAGTTGTCTCCCAATACCAGCACCAAGAAACAGTCCTGGGGCCAGAATAATTTGAGAATAGGATTGAAAATCCCAAAGTAGTCCTCATTAAGAAATCAGATTGCATCCATTCATCCACCTATAGAAGCTCCTATACCCAAGCAGAGTTTGCAGCTTCCTGTCTCTGGAAGAGAGCCTCTACACTTAAGAGAAAGGATAGACCACAGGAATAATGTTAAATAAACTAATACACTACAATCTTCTTGAGTTCGTGCCATTGCAACCTTCCTTTTCCATAGGTTCATTCTCTTTGCACAGCCCAACCACAACTTAGCTGTATACTTTGAACATTACCCAAAGGCTCCTTGCAGAGTTGGTCAATGAAGACTGGCATTCAACATGCTCTCTGCTCATCCATATATTGCACAGAGGCAGATGGATTTTTAGTTCAAACAAAGGTGCCATTAGGGCTAGCAGGGGGACCTAGATGTGCTGTACCCAACCAAGAAAAAGTTCAAAAGTCAACTATATACATACATATGAGGATGAGTCAAAAATCATCTGCACTCTGGTTATATTAATAGGCCTGGCCATATCCATGGCTGATGACAGCACTGAGTGTGGATGTAAAATGCTTCTGTTGAATAGACAAGTGGCAGTAGATTATGTTGCAAATCATTTTCAAATCAGCCATGGCTCTGCCTATGAAATAATCTATGACAGACTGGGTTTTGAAAAGTTTGTGCAAGATGGGTACCGAAACAACTCATGGAACAGCATAAACAGAAGAGTTTGGACATCTGCAAATGAAGTTTGGACCAATACTTGAAGGAAGGTAAAAGTTTCTTTTAAAAAATTGTTACTGGTGACATGACATGGATCCATCACTATAAGCCTGAGCGTAAACAGCAGAGAATGAAATGGAAACATCCTCAATTGCCAACCAAGAAAAAGTTAAAAAGTCAACCATCAGCTGGAAAATTGATGCTTACAGTTTTCGGGGATTCTTAAGGGGCAGTATTGGGACTTTATCAGGAAAAAGTTTCAACAATCAATGATGTTAGTGCCAACGAGATGCTCACTGAGGAACTGAAGCCTAAACTTGAGATTAACTGCAGAGGAGTGCTATCCAAGTGTCTTGAGATCTTGCATGACAATGAACTTACACTGTTGACACTGTAAAAAATTCATTTTGAGGTGTTAAAGCATCCTCCCTATAGTCCTGGTCTTGCTCCATCCGACTTTTACCAGTTTGGTTCCCTGAAAGCAAATGATTGACCATTCCATGGTGAGCAAACCTTACTAGTACTGTTGGCCTCCTCTCCTACCCCAGAAGCCTATCTACTGTTTGCCTGAAAATTGTGCCATGAAGGTTAGTTGCTTTCCAGACCTGAAGGGTAGTAGAAGGCCATAGTCTCAGGTTCCTCCAGGCTCTTTGTGACCAGTAAATCCAGTCTTTCTTTTAATAATTTTTAGTTTTAAACCAGAGTATTCCCTCATGGTCTAGGTAGCTTCAAAAATTTTACTTTCCTGAGCTGAAAGGTTTCCCTCTCAAACCACCCCCCACCCCCACCCCCCAAATAAAAAATCTTACCTAACAGGCCAGGTCCAGTGCAAATGGCTGGGGGAAAAAAGAAGGAAGTGAGTGAGGTCATATAGTGAATCCCCAAGGCTCTGCTGAACACAACTTTCTGGAAGACCTTTGCCAAACCTCTGTGAAGAGGTCCACACAGAACCTCCAAGGATAACCTTATTGAGACTTGCTCCTTCTCAGTATGGATATTAGCTAAGAATCACAGAGAATAATTCTACCACAGCCAACTAACCCCATCCATCACTGGACATGTGATGGTGGCTCTGTGCCAGGCATGCCTAGATTTTCAGTTGTATTCCAGTCAATTATATTGATTGGTTATTGCCTCCTGGAGTTAAAGTGTGGTGAAGAAGCCTCTAGGAGCAGCAGGTAAGAGTGCTGCAAGCCACTGAAAAGATTCCTTGATAGTAGAAGGTAAAGATGCAGTGGTGGGGGTGGGGAGAAGTGACAGGCGTGGCATGCGTTCACTGGCACTGCATTTAGTCCAGGGTTAGCAATTTTTTGTTTTCAAAGGCAAGTTAGTAAATGTTTTAGACCTTGTGGACCATATGATCTGTTGCAACTACTCAACACTGCCATTGTAGCTTAAAAACAGCCATAGGCAATATATAAGTAAATGGGAATAATTGTGCTCCAAGAAACCTTTATTTTATGCAGTGTTCATGTGATACAAGATACTATTCTTCTTTTAATTTTTTTAGCCTTTTTTTGGGGGGGCTAACTTCAGGTTTAGACCAGTAAGTAAAAAAGCTGCTCTACACTCCATTTCAAATATTTAGATTTAAGCATAATCACATGTTTAACATATCTGAGCTTCTTCGGGGAGGGTCTTCTAGGATTGGACTCTTCTATACTTAAGGTTGTCTCCTAATTCTGTAGCATGTCGAGTCCTATGACTTCCAATAGTCCCTGAAGGCTAGGCATTTTCAACTGTAGGACTCACCTCCCATCATCTTGAAGGTTTTCTGAAGAAACTCATATTTTTGGACCTCCAGCCTAGAGTATTCAGGCCGATCAAAGTATTTCAGTGACTTATCCTGAAATACTTTCTTTTCTTGGTTTCCAAAGAATTTTTTAATAGACCCATACCTTTACTCTTCAAAATGTGCCCATACCCTAGCTCAGTGAGATGTGTTTTGAAGCTACTTAAAACCCAAAGTCATATTATACTTGTGTGAATCAATATATAACACTCCATATGCCTAATAATAAATATAAAACATTTGTCCATATAAGGAAAATAGAGTGTATCAAGTTTGATATGCAAGGTGTGAAAGTGATACAGTCAGTAAGTGACTTGAAAGTTCTCTATAGAGAGAGGAATAATTGGGGATGACATGGACCAGGAAAGCTTCAAGAAGAAGGTAAGTGTGGAAAATTTAGTAATATATTTGTAATGGGCAGAACTGGTTATGAGATGCTGTGAGCTACTTAAATATTTAATATTTGCCAACATTTTTCATATAGCACATAAATGCCCAAAATGTGTATGTGTGTGTGAGAGAGAGAGAGACACTGGAGTTCACCAAGATAATGAAAATAGATGAGATTGATAATAGACTGGATCTAACAAGCATTGCATTGTTAGATATCCTGTACTAGCTATCTTGTAAAACAGTTCCTAATAAACCTGTGAAGAATGTAATCTTATCTTCATTTTATAAGTCATGAAGACATGTTTCAGAGAGGTATGATAAATGACATATTCAGACAGAGGAAAAATCAAAGAGCCAGGATTTAAACCCAGGTTTCTTTAGCACTGAAATCCCCTTTTAATCTAGATAACTCCAGGGATGAAGAAGTTGAGAGACATTAGGGAAGTGCAACATAGAAAACTTTTGAGAGGAAGCCAAGTAATGTGTTTAATAAAAGGAGTTTTTCTTAGGAATCACCTTTTCTTGCTCTCCCTGTTTGGCATCTCATAAATAGCACATTTAGGAATGTTTTTGTAAAAAAGGAAATTGGGAAAAGTGATCATAAATTAGTCATTGGAAATATGAACAAATGGATTTTCTTAAATCTGGCAATCAACATAGATCATAAATTGGGTATAGATGAAGTGGTGTCTTTGGGTTTAGAAGAGTTACTAGATGTATAGATAGGAGAGCAGAGCATCCTTAAAAGATGCTGAGGTCTGTGCAGGAAGATTCTCCTAAACGAACAGGAGGAGAGATACTCACCAAGGATCAAGGAGAGTAGTAAAGCCATGACCTGGGCAGCTGAAGATGATGAACTGAAATATAAAGCTGCAAGAAGGCCCCAGCGCTGCAATATGCAACTTTGTCTGCGAGTACGCTGCAAGACAATCAAAGGTGGGTCCTGTCTATGATAGAAGCATTATCAGATGACCAGGAACCAATGGAGTCAGAAGGCAGAACTGATGAAACTGGACTTGCTGAATTCAGCATATTTCCAAAGGAAGGGAAGTGTCTTAAATGGCAAAAAGATGCTAAAAAATAATAATAATAAATCCCATAGTGTGTGTATAACTTGGTTCTGCTATAATCCCAGCCCCGATCTAAACAAACATATTTGTTTAGACAGATCTTACAAGGAAACTCAGATGCCACGAATGGGACCATCTCTTAGAAGACCAGGAAATGTTTTGTCTTTAAGTATGGTCTGTGAGAGAAGTAGGCTAATTTTCATTCCTTTACATTAGAGGTAAGTCCCTAGGGAATGAGTAAGACAGAGGTCAAACAACAAATGTAGAGTTCCCCATGAAAGCAACCATAATATACTCTATTCCAGGATCAAGGCATAAAGTTCTATGGAGAGGGCAGGATTTGTTCATCACCTGTATCTACCCTGGTGTATCAGGTACACCTTTGGAAACTGAATGGAAGCAATTCCCTGTGGTAATGGATATCATGATCACTGAACTCAGGTTCTTAAGTCTAAAGAATGAACAGAGATTAGGCAGCAAGACCTTCAGTAGCTCCAGTTCCTTCTGCTTTGCTGAGTGGGTACTCCTCACTTATTGACATGGTTATGGTCCAAAGATCAGGTTGTTAGGTGAAAATTGGTATTATGTAAAAATGGGGAATGACCATTTCAGCTCACAGAATGGAAGATGACTGCATCATCATATAACTGCCAAATTATTTCATTACATAATTACCAACCCCTGAGAATCATGGGACATACAAGTTGACACATAACCATAACCATCACTTTTGCTATCACTTTGCACACTGGGAATCATTACTGTCACATATGTTGTTAATGCACAAAACAAAAAACAGTAGTTTTTTACTATTGTAAATGTGATCTGTTGGATAATACAGTAGTCAGTAAGTGAGAATTAGGTGTATTAATAAGTAAGATATGTTTTGAGGACTTTCAACTCTAGAATCCTCAAACATTTGGTTTGATGCACTAACACAACCTGCTGTTTAACACAGAGTAAATTTTTCTCTGCAATGAAACATCTTGGCTTCTTTGTCGTTACTCAGGTTACTCAGCATAAAGATTGGCTCATTGTAGATATTCATTTTTCCAGTCCTTATTTTTTCATTTGCTTATTATTGCATTCATCAAAAAGTTTTTAGCAATCATAAGTGCCAGACAAGTGATAGCTTCAAGATATAAAAACAATGATAAATAAAAAATAGTTCACACTCAAAATGGATATAGTCTAGTAATTGCTGTGGTGGTGGTGGTAGTGGAAGTGGTGTGCTGTGGAGTCGGTTACAACTCATAGTAACTCTGCATACAGTTTCCAAGACTATAAATCTTTACAGGAGCAGAAAGCCTCATTTACTCCCACAGAATAGCTGGTAGTTTTGAACTGCTGATCTTGAGGTTAGCAGCCCGACTCTTAACTACTACTACACCTACCAGAGCTCCTTAAAATTGCTATAGAATGTAAAAGCTGCAATAAAGTATAAAGAACATTGGAGACACAATGAAATCAATTGTTACCTCTACCTGGGGTTAATCAGAGAAAACTTCACAGAAACAATGATGTTTGAGCAGATATTAAGAGATTTGATTTCCCTTCTGTAAAAATCAAAATGAGAAAGGCTAGGCATATCCAGACCAATGAGACAGAATTGCCTAGAAACTGCAGGTAATTTGGAAAGGGTGGACCACAACCTACTTAGGGGTCAGAGGTCAAGGGTAGTGAATTAAAGGGTACACAGAGATTATAAACAGGCTCTGGTAGCACAGTGGTTACTAATTGGGCTGTGAACTGCAAGGTCAACAGTTTGAAACCAGCAGCTGTTCCGCAGGAGAAAGATGAAGCTTTCTGCTCCCATAAAGATTTACAGCCTCAGAAACCCTGTGCAGGTTCTCTATGAGTCAGAACCAACTCCACGGCACATAACAACAGCAACAAAACATGGTAGAGAATCTATTATGAATGTATTTGCAAGTGCTAACTAATCATATCACCCCCCCACCCTAGATTCTGAAAAAAAAAAAAAATGAAGAATTAGAGAAGTCAGAAAGTGTTCAATTTATTAGCTTTACTGGTGATGAACCTAGATAAGATTGCAACTGGGATCCCAAACCCTGTGCATGTACCTCTGAATGTAATTTGCCCAACCTGTCATAGGCACATGAGTTGGAGCTTCAGAGCTTCATCTTTCAGGAGCCAGACGACTACTGAGCTAACACTTGAAGGAAACAGACACACCTTCATAGGAAGATTTCTGGTCCTCATGCTTCAGATATATTTCTTCCCATCTCATATGGATGAAAGAAGAGATAAAGACTAACCCCACTCACACCCCCAATATTCTATCTTGGTAGCAGAGTCAGTGTCACAGAGAGAGGAAATGGGAACTCTTTCAGTAAGAAGTACATTATCCCATAGGGCATAAGAAGTCTCTGAAAGTTTTTATACATTTTAGAGTGTTATGTGTTCTGATGACAGAGTAAAGGACAAACTGAAATGGAGGGAAGCTGGAGTCAAGGAGATTTATTAAGAGTCCACTGCACAAGTTCAGAAGAAAGCAAAAGAGAACCTGAATGGCGAGGGTGGCAAGGGGCCTTGAGGGGAAGGAATGGATCTGAGAGATGATTAATTATAGATTCTACCATATTTGGGAATCCTGGTGTGGTGCTGTGGGTTAATGTGCTAGACTACAAAGCTGGCAGTTGAAGATCATCAGCCACTCCTAAGAAACCCTATACAAGGTCTCCATGGATCAGAACCAACTCAATGGTACTTAACAACAACAACAATACTTGAGACCTAGTGACACATTGGACTGCTAACAACAAGGTCAATAGTTTGAATCCACCAGGAGAAAGATGAGTCTACTTCTGTAAAGATTTAGTCTTGGAAATCCTATACAGGTTCACTATGAGTCAGAACAGACTCAATGACATGCAACTACTACACTGCTACTATCACTACTACTACAAGACTTTGCTCTTTGGAGGAGAACATAAGGAATAATTAGTGGTTTAAGATCATTCCCAGACTTCTGGACCAGTTTTGTGTCAGAGGATGCAAATAAAGATAAATATCAGCAGTGATGTATAGAAAGTAGAAGATTGTATCTGAGTCACAATATTTTGCAAAGAAATGTGTGAACAGGAAGACAGGCTTGGGTAGCAAACTTCTTAAAAGTGGTAAAGGTGTAAAATAATTAATGAAAGAAAAGTAAAAAACTGTGGGCAAAGACAAGTAAAATGACAACTTTTCAGCACTAAGCTCAACTGACATAAAAAAGCACACATATGTAAGTGCCGTCAGTGTACCCAGCTGTGAAAACCCTTCAGGCTGCAGTCAGTAGTTCTGGGGTGAGATTCTCAGCCTGTCATCTTCAGGGTTGGGAACTCATAGAAAGTTCTGGTGGACAGCTCAGAAAGACAGGAAGTTCAAGCTGAGAGAGTAATTCCAGTTGGAGCTCTGGACCGTAGTGGTTACAAATTGGGCTGCTAACCTCAAGATTGGCAGTTCGAAACTACCAGCTGTTCCATGGGAGAAAGATGAGGCTTTTTGCTCCCGTAAAGATTTGCAGCCTCAGAAACCCTGTGCAGGGTCACTAACAACAGGCTTACAGAAAATCAGGAAATGGACTGGTAAAAAGTGAAAATAGAAACATTATCCTACAGGGCAAAGAGGAAACTTCAATGAGGAAGGGTTCAGGGGAGAGAAAGGGTTATAAAGTGCAAGGAATGCGGACGTGGAAACTGTGTTGATAGCTTTGAATGGTGGTATTTAAGGTTTCAAAGGAGAAGTAGTTCTGGGCAATGACAAATCTCAGGCCATGATACTGGAGGAGAATGAAGGTGGAAGTTGGAGTAGCTGATGAGTGTAAGGAATTGAGAAGTGGTTTGAAGAGGAGCTCACTCAAATGGGGCATATGGGATGGAATGCAGGGGTGAGTGAGCCCAAAGATGTATAGTAGCAAACAGTTGTTTGGAGGGCATCTATATGTGACACACATAAGATGGTAGAGGCATGCTGCAAAGCACTCATAAAGTAGGAACTCCATGTCCTGTTGGTTTGGCATTAAGCTGAAGCCCATCACCCTCAAATTTATAGCGAGTTTTCAAAGTTCCAGTCTACAAGATCTCACCCCGGCCTACATAAGAACTGAAATGATATTTTCCTGTTTTGTTGTCCCATGTCCAGTTGGAGACTTAAGGAAAACCTTTCACTTTACCTAAATATCTATAGATTGATCTGTCATTATGGGGTTCTAGTGTGGCTCTGGAAGATAAGCACAGAACTGTTAACCACAAGGTTCAAACCCACAAGTCACTCCAAGGAACCCTATACAGGGTTGCTATGAGTTAGAATCCATAGTGCTGGGGTCTGGCCTCAACAAGGGGGTGAGTACACGAAGGTGGGGTGTCTGGTGACGAGAGAGAAAAAACAGACACAAAGAAGACAGAGAAAACAGACACAAAGAAGACAGACACACAGGTTTGATGCAAGCTGCCAGACAGACTGCTCGGGGGCAGACATTGTACACAGAACTAACTCTAGGTGGGATGTCTGGAGAGGTGAGAGAGAAAAGAAACACTCGGAGACCAGAGTGGATACAAGCTGACAGGCAGAAAGACCTGCTGCCAAGAATGCACACAGAACTATCTCTACACCAGTCTTTTATTAACTTTTTCAAGGAGAAATTCAAGGACAGGACACAACGATTCACAGGAACGCCCTTTAAGATATTTTCTAGTACAACACAATTTTCTTAGCAATCTAACATTTTTATTTCTACAGGAAAAGGTTCAAGCAA